TTGCACTCATCATTGTTTAAAAAAACAAAACAAGCTACATTAGTTTGTTCAAACCAAAACTCTACTTAATTGTTACTGTGATATATTGGTGTATCAAAATGCACTAAACACTTGGGTTTCTTATGCCGTTTATTCTGCATTTTAAAAACACTGCAAGTACAAAATACAACACATTACTCATTCACTCTAATCTCTCTCATAGTATATTCACATCAGGGGACATAACTCTTACATATACAGTGTACTTTAATTATCACAGTAATGTATACTAGTACATTAGAATAGATACGTTTTTCATTCAATGAGCCCCATATAAAAATATGATATTATTTTTACATTGTACGTATCATTAAAACTTACCTCCTTGTTTCATGATGTTTCACAAACTGGAGATAACTCTGAGATAACTTTGGCAAAAGAGGAAGTAACTTTGTACCAAAGTGGAGATAACTCCACATAATTTTGCATACAAAGAAGGGATAACTCCACATCATATTATACAAAACTTGAGATAACTTAAAATTTGTATAAAAGAGGAAGTAATTAAACATAATGTTGTTTTAAGTGGAGATAACTCTACATAATATTGTACAAAACATGCGATAACTCTACATCATGTTGTCCAAATTGGCGATAACTCTACATGAATGTGTACAACAGGGGTGATAACTCTGCATAACGTTGTACAACAATTGCGATAACTCCTCGTAACTTTGTTAAAAAGAGGTGATACCTCTACAAAACTTTGCATTAAAAGTGAGACAGCTCTACATGACTTTGTACAAAAGTGGCGATAACTCTACAAAATGTTGTAATAAGAGACGATAAATATATACAGTGAACAAAGACCGATTGATTCTTAGCTATGTTTCATTGACATCTTAGCTTTGTTTTCTTATATTCCCGTTTATTGTCATTGTATTTTCTATAGTTTATGGCTTTGGTAAGATTAAGAAGTTTTTCTAAATGTTTAAAGTTATATCTGATTATGATTGTGCATATACATGTATAGCATGGAATTAATATCTACTCTAGCCTTCTATTCTGTCTCTTCATACATCACAGACTGAAGCAAATTATAAGTATATCACTTAACTTTTGGACTCAAACACCCACGTAGATTTCGTAATGCTGTTTGCTTGACACGTCATGTCCGTTTCCTCGATACAACTTAACCGGGTACATGTTTACAAGAAAACATCTGTCTTCAAACAAGATCCGCTATAGGTTTCATTTACTAACCGAAGGTAATTGTTGATGTTAACCTTTATTCAATCTCTAGTCAAGGTACTACGTTTCGTAAGTGATGTAGTTCATTAAATGTAATAGACATTATACATGTAACCTTTGTTCGGCTTATCAATTTTCACGCCCTCTTCATATCGCTATATAGATGTTCTCGTGCGCCTAGTGATACGTGAATATAAATTATCCTTCCGCAGACTAAAGTCCTTTTAATAGAACGTTTTCTACCTATAATCTTGTAACAGATTTTAACAATGAAATTAAAATATGTGCAATATATTTATTGTTTCTTTGATACTTAAGTATCAAGGGAAACCGAAAATATAGGCTGTTCAAGAAATGTAGTTTTTCGGTCTGCAAAACAAGTGTTTGAGTTATTTTTTATTTATTCAAAATTTAAACTTAGCCATTGCGAAACACGTTTTAATGATGAAAACTTTAACAGCAAGAATTATATTTCTTTTGTGTATGCTTAATTTATAATAAACAAGGTGACAGGTGTTGACTGCTGACAGACAGACTTACAACACAGGGTTTTAAATATGCAGACTGATAAAGACTATGTACATATACAAGGATTATGGTCACCATCATGATTCCATAGAGAAATATGCTATTTCTGTGTATGGTATGTACGTCAATGTTGCTTCATTTTGCTCAGTATTGTACCTTGTGGTTTTGTTATCATGACCGAAGTTCTCGACGTAAGGACGTGACATCACTTGAATTTGACCTAGATTTACCTGGCGGGTGGCATCGATGAAGCAGAAGACGTTTACCCTTTTAAAAAACCTGGTCTTATTCTCTTGTAAACCTCCATTAAAATCTATGTGTGTAACAGTTCTGAAAATCACTTTTATCGTTTATTTTTAGAAACTTTTATATTTCTAAGTTCGTTATTTCATATCCTGGCGTAAATTCCCTTGAAAAAAACCCCATGATTATACGTAGATGTATGTGCGAAGATTAAATTTATTTGCAATATGACTTTATAAATAGAAACAAGTGATGAGAGATACTTCCGACAGAATATTAACGATAACTTTTCCTTAAGTTCCCACTGTGTTGACTTTAAGCCTGCCATAAACTTTGTATTTACAGGAATGTTTGGGTCCATCTATAGTATTTGTTTAGTACACATTTACAGGGTTTTTATGGTTAGACCGATGAAGACTCGCATTTTAATGTAGATATAAAATACAGGGAGTAACTGAATATCGCCAGATGTATTAACAACTTCAAGTAATGGTACATTTTCGCTATAAATAGAATCAGTCAGTTCCATTTTTTAGCTCGGTATCAATTTCAGTCGAGTAGTTTTTAATGTCTCGTTAATGATAAGCTCACCAATATATTCTATATCAAAACAGCAGGATCTGATACAAGTTATCCTAAGTTAGCTGTATTAACATATGACAGTACGTATACAAATATATAGTCTTTCTTACGACGCTGTACTAAATACGAGGCACAACTGACTGTATTAGTAAAAGAGTACAACTATAAATATACAATGTCTTTATACAGCTACTGTATCGGATACAATACACAACTATAAATAAACAATGTCTTTATACAGCTACTGTATCGGATACAATGTACTACTATAAATATACAGTGTCTTTATACAGCTACTGTATCGGATACAATGTACAACTATAAATATACAATGTCTTTACGCCGACTTTATCAGATACATGTACAATGTACACGTATAAATATAAAATGTTTTATTCCGACTTTATCAGATACAATGTACAAGTATAAATATAAAAAAAAATATTCCGACTTTATCAGATACAATGTACAAGTATAAATATAGAATGTTTTATTCCGACTTTATCAGATACAATGTACAACTATAAATATACAGTGTCTTTACGCCGACTTTATCAGATACATGTGCAATGTACAAGTATAAATATAAAATGTTTCTTACAATGACTTCATCAGATACAAAGTATAACAGTTATATACAATGTTTTACACCATCTTTATCAGATACAATGTACAGCTTTAAACATACAATGTACATCTTTAAACATACAATCCCTGTTATGCACCTATAAGATAGAGCTGACATGTACTTTAGTCTGACCTGTTCGTACTTTTACAGTTCTGTTAAATGTCAATACATGTCTACATTATTTAAACTACTGACGGTGGATGTAATCTTAACGAGTGGTGGCTCGAGATTAACCTGAATACGATTCCATACGGTTAGTTAAGTACAGATTTGTGGTACTTAAGGGTATATGCAACATAACTGCAATGTGCACTTCTTTTTCTAGCGAAGCTCAACACGATGAAATGAGGAAAACATAAGTGTAAAAAGCATTGAGACCCTTGAAAGTAGAATTAGACTAAGACCAGTAGTTCCGGAAGGGTACGCGTCATCTGCCACATCGACGACACTAACCATGTCAATTTCAATAAAATCCATGTAGTATCACAAGCTCTTGAATACCGAATACCAAGTTCAGGAGGGCATATACCGTCGACGAGGTAAATACATTTCCTGTTATTTAAAGACATCACATTGCCAATATTCATTGCATCTGAAAGTGAATTATTTGGCAAGGTTTTCATACCCATCAGTTCAATTCCTCAACCCCATTTGGAAATGTAAACAGGTAGGCCTGAAGAGAGGTACAGGGTTAAACAGGTAGGCCTGAAGAGAGGTACAGGGTTAAACAGGTAGGCCTGAAGAGAGGTACAGGGTTAAACAGGTAGGCCTGAAGAGAGGTACAGGATTAAACAGGTAGGCCTGAAGAGAGGTACAGGTTTTTTTTTCTATAAAAATGCCTGCCGTCTGCTTGAATATCTTGACATCAAATTCGAAGAAATATTATCTACCAGAAACTCAAATCGTCTCACGATTTTATTCTCAGAATACTTCATTTATGCCTGAGCCCTCTTTCTCAACAAAAAAAGGTCCAAAGTAGTTTACATTCATACATGCGTAACTATGAAGCTATGCATTGACCTCGTAACAAACCTTCAGTTTGTTATGAGGTCAATGCCGTGGTATAAGAAAAAAACAATTGGGGAGATAATGCTAAAATTTGATAATAATAATAGTATAAAACATTTGATATAGCGCCCTGTCTAACCAGAATAAGTCACTCTAAAGCGCTTTACAGTACATAGATATATAGCTTATACAATTCAATTGTTTGAGGAATTCGCAGGAGCTGCCTTATCAGGCGCTTACTACTAGTCTTATGTCATCATGCTAATATCTCCCTATGTGTGCATGCCTGCGTGTGTGCTGGAGATGTATTTGATCAAAACGTCTTTTGAATATCCACATACCATTAATTTCACTTTTGTACTTTGTAGTGTCTGTAACCCTAATTTACAATATAATGGTACCAGAGATGGTAGTTATAAGTTTAGATAATTTGTGGTTTGAGCAACTGACAGAACCAACGATAAAATGTTGTTTATAGATACATGTACACTTGTGAAGTTTCGGAATCCACTTCAATCGAGGTTGGTCCATATCATCATATCTTTAATCCGAATTAGACAACATTGTAATACAGCAGATAAACGTATTTCATAAAAGTGATAATATGAAGGAAAAATGGCTCAAATACAAACTAACAATGGAGTTGATAGCCTTTGTTTTTCATTGCTTTCCACAAGATCTATTCGTTATCTCCTGATTCCTATTGCATCATGCAACTTCCTTATGCATGTTTTATAGCCACTGATCACTTGTGGTCAGCATTGTTTCCTGTCTATTTAAGGTATTATGGATCAAAGAGGGAGACAACCATCCTATTTCAATCGGCCGATACATAATGGTAAGCGACAAGCGATTCTTCTCTACTGGCGGTTCGTCAGATGTTGACTGGGGTATAGCAATCAAGGACGTCACTTTTTCTGATGAAGGCACCTTCAGGTGTATGGTGAATTCTGAGGTCAGGAAAATCCGGGAGATCCACTTAGCCGTATTAAGTAAGTACATTTGTATATCATGTAGTAAACTATTGGTATGTCCCCCTTGTCTCCATTGACTTTTTCTTTCTTTCCCTTTTTAGAGTGGGGTAGGTGGGTAGGGGTGAGGGTGACTTACTTTGATTATTGAAAAACTAAACTAAAATCGCTCAATATTAAAGTTGTTTGGGAGTGTGAAGGAGACGTGTCACAGAAAATAATTATTTTTAGTATGACCCGATGTCGCCCCCATTTGGCGTTCAATGTGTTTTTCTTTTCAAGTTTTGTTGGCTAAAATCAGGATCAAGAACCTTTTGTCTTGACCATGTTTTACCTTTGCTAATTTTTGTAACTAAAACAACCCGTTAAGTTGTAATTCCTGGATAATAAATTAATCATATCGAAAGAATTGTGTTAACACATTTTTATTTAGTTTCTCTTAAAGGAGATATGTACCCCATACCTTTCTTAAACAAAAAAAAGAGATCTGCGTTACGTAAATTTACTTATTGCTGATTATTAGAACTTGAGTATTACAAAAATAAAATAAAAAATTGATAATACTCAGAATGCTGAATCATTATTATTATTTTTTTTTTTTTTTAAATTCATGAAAAACAAACTCAAACACAAAACCTTGGTATTAACAGTATAGATCAGAAAGGCAGATAACTCTAACACAAACCACGAGTATTATGTACATTTAAGGTAGCATATACCATAAAGACAGAAGATTTTAGCACGAATCACAGGTAAACTATAACATATATCATAAAGACAGAAGATTCTAGCACGAATCACAGGTATACTATAACATATATCATAAAGGGAACTTACTCTCAATGAAATCAGATGATATAATGCATAAAGCATAATCTATCATAAAGGGAGTTTACTCTAGCCAAAATCACAGGTACGTGTATAATGCAGATAGCATAATCCTTCATTAATTACTCTACTTTAAATCACAAGAATTATGCAAAAAGAGTCGTTTGTCATTAATGGAGTTAATGCTAACATCAATCCCTATAAGGTACGTATCATACACCATTAATACTAAAAACATTTTGGTCATATTAACATTCAATAACAAAACGATCACGGACCAATAATTTGCCGGCTGAGGAAGAGCTAATGTTATGTTAAGTTTATGACCTGTTGAATTGTCCATCCAGGTCCCCCAAAGATCACTAGCTTCTCCCCATCCCAACTGACCGTCCGCGCTGGCGATTCTGTAGAGTTGACGTGTCTGACCGAGGGGGTGCCCCCGCCAACTGTCTTGTGGTATGAAAACGATAGATTTACAGGTAAGTCCTTATCATAACAAATAACATTTTTCATGCTGATGCAGATTTTGACACCATGGTGTGCATTGCACATTATCATCGAACAAAGTCATGAAAAGAATTGTTATTCAAAACACAAATTAATGTTCGTCTGTTTTAGCAGAATCAGTACTTTGATAACCAATCCAATCAAAAGTGCACTCGAGATGGATACACTTGCTTGGGTGCTGGCTATTTTGATCGAAACACAATGTCTTTATCTGGATGTTTTGCAGCAGTAATCTGGGATTATATATATATATATATATATATATATATACAAATAATACAGGCTGTGGATAAAAAGGATAAACCGAAGAGCGAAATCGCCTGTATGTTTTATATAAACCCCTGCAATTAGTCTGAAATGGCAAACGCCGTGATGTATTTATATCTTTCCGGACATTGTTGCTCCCAAACGTCAGCTTTTTCGTTCTGGGTGTCATGGCTACAGCGGATAATCTTTTCTGTTAGTTTTAGTTATACAAATCGTGTAAGAATAAATTGCTTTCACAAAAATACCGACAAAACTAGTCCTGATGTTCAAACAACACTCAACCAAGTCATTATGTCAAATGTAGTCGCTAAAAACGAAGTACAAAAACACCCTATTTTTTCTATTTATTTTGTTGATGCCAATAGACAAACAAAGCAAATTCCGGATATAAATACTACGCATGAACGTTTCGTCCATTTGGAATTAATTAGAGGTTCTAAGGTTGAAAAAGGTGAATATTTATGCCAAAACTGAACCGAAAAGTGTGAACTATTTAAACATCAACACTGTATCACCTAACATGATAGATGCCACAAGTGATGTCAGAAACATGTACACTTCCTGAGCACGTGGATTCCCCCATTCGTGTTAGTGTTTGGGGGTGAACAGGATCTGTCTATTCCTTGAAGCTAGAACGAAAAAATGGCACACGAAGAGTGAACTCCTGACTGCCTTGAGGCTGTCAATAGTCGCCTCCGACGACGGAAAGTTATCTCTTCTAGCCTCTAGATAGAGAATGATCCCTTTTCCTCAAAACAAAAATCATTAAAAGCAAGGTGACATGTTGCCATTAATAAACCAATGAGAATTATTAGTTATATATAGGATCAATAAATGGCAATTCGTATGTAGAGTTGCACGTGTATGTAACTTCTAAGATGAAACAGATTCATCATTATTAAATAGTAACACTTAGCATAAAAACTGCATGGCGGTACATATACATGTAGTTGTAATTTCCATTTTAGATCGCACCTATGTTTGCATTTAGGGTCAGACAAAACAATCTTTTCTCCCCGGAAGTACGGATATCTCTACCAAAGGGAGGTTCACGATGTTTTTGTTGTTGTTGTTGTTTTTAAATTTATATTTAGCCCCATCATCTTTGACTTTGGATTTTATTGTTTTGAATACGAAGGTGAAATGACCGAAACTCTGCTGATTCCGAACATCACGGGGACCATGGGTGGCAGGTACCTGGGCCATCGGGAGTACGAGTGTAGGGTGGACAATGGAGTACCTCCCACGCGAATGCGAAAGATCGAAGTGACAGTCCACTGTAAGTGTAGATATCACGAGCAACAATTCTGCGTTAGAAATTAGTTAAAATGATTTATATTTAAATTATCAAGTCCCCTTCGTTTTCGTATCGGGTTTGTATTTCCATCACGGCATTGTCAGGGGCGTAGCTAGCTCTTAGGTCCAGGACAGGGCACTTGGAAGTGGGATAAGTGGGTGCATCAAGCAGTGAGTTGTTTTGTTTTGATCTTTCTGATTGAAAATTTAGTGGATTTACCTACGTACCAGCGTATAGGCAGAGTCGGACCTGATTGTCTGTTGCCGTAGTAGGTATATATTTTTTCATTTTTGCTTCACAGAATGTAGCTTTTTTATAATTTTGCATAACCAAATCTGTTAACTGCTATTAAGTTGATTAAATGTCATCTTTGTTCTTAGTTGCGCCGATCCTGCAACTCATTACCCTAAATGACACAACTATTCCCGCCGGAAGTGACGTAAATATGACGTTTATCTGCATGGGAAATCCAACAACGTTTGTAAATTGGGATCATGGCAGCCAGGCCTTACACGAGGGTCAAGATAGACACGCATTTGAGACTAAAAATGGCATCGTCCGCTCCTTAATTATTAGAGGTGTGAAATCCGACGAGTTTGGATTGTACAGAGCTCAATGTACAAACGGATTTGGAAGTGCTGAGGCAAGGTTCCTAATCAATGAAATGGGTAAGATTTTTTTTTATCTGAAACTGATTTAAACTCTAAGCACCTGGCCCGAAGGACAAAGTAAGGCAATGCATTGACTCGGCGTTCGTCGTCCGCCCGTTCGTACATCGTCAACTTATCCTTTAAAATACTACTTATCCAGAATGGATTAATGACTTTTCACCAAATTTTATCTGGATCATTATCGGGAAAAAAGGGAGACAACGATATGAACTGTAATCAAATATACAATTAATAGGCATGAGATTACCACTCAACATGTTAAACCATATAGAGAGGATATTACACTAGTGTCCATGCATTTATTAACAGAGTTAAAAATATTGATACGACACCATCCTTCAGCCAAGTGTAATATCAAATTATTGAACGAGTTAAATAAATTCAATATGAAATTGACACTCATGAACGGTTCCATTTATCACATACCATTCAAAATTTAAAGATAAAAACTTCAATCACAATTATGTGGTTTCAGCTGAATCTTAATAAAGATGAAAATAGAAATGACAAAAACTATTTCATATTCGTTAGAAATCAAAGTAAATGTAAAATGTGGTGTAGTAAAGAAAAGAAGTAAAGTCATTGGCGTAGAATTATGTTCCCAAGGGTTTGACCAACCGCAGCACCTTAAGGTTATATGACACTTTTGAAATACCATATTTATAACATGGCCGTATGACATAGTTAAGTGGGTCTATTGTGTGATAAATACATTTGTTTGACATGAGGATTTTCGATATTCGATATTATACAAATCATTTCGAAATGTTGTTTTGTCTTCATTATTTTGATGGGTTTATCACATGACTTTTTTTGTATGTCATAACCAATAACAACTGATATGGAAAGGTCATGATGTTATTGAGTTTTTTGGATAATATGTTAATGACCTTATATTGTATAATTCAGTACCTCCGGATATCGACCTGACACGATCCAGCAGAAACCAAACTCTCTATCTTGGTGACAGGCTGGAGATGGTATGTTACAGTACATCAGATAGTGCTGAATTTTCCTGGTATAAATCGGCGGATCTAAATATCAACGGTACATCAGAACGTAAGTCTGGTCATCCAAATAACCAATGTGAAATACACCTGTGAGTCCTGCTTTTATGTTGTTTTTTTGTTTGTTTTTGTTTCTCTTTAGATTGATGCATTGATGTTTTTTTATATTTTTTATATTTTTTATAATTTTAACGGATTTTTTTTTATTATTATTCTATATAGAATGACTCGCTTGCTTTATAGAATTCGACTTTCCATGTGTAAAAAAGTAGATACATGTAAAGCACTGAAAGAGGTTGCTGCAATGTATATGTTAACACACCAATCAAATATACGTACTTCAACCTTTTGTAATATTATTAATTTATTAATTTCAACAAAGTATGAGACCAACGCCTTGATTCACAATCGTCCTTTAATTTGGAGATATTTAATTAAAAATTGTGTATAGTAATCATGGAATTAATAATAAGTTATCAATAGGCCCATTTTCAACTTTTTTAAAGGATTTTTGTTTGTTATTTTTTTTATATCTGTTATTACTTATTTTACAAACTTATGTTTCGAGTTATTTCCCTTTACACTCCGCTTAGCTTCGAGTTATTATATTTTTCTGTCCCTGAAGTACTTACATTTTTATTACGATTGAATTAAGTAAACAATGTTAGATGTACTTTTCTGTGTTTACAACTGCTTATTAATTTTCTGAAATCATGCACGTTCCTTTAAGTTTTATAAGAACTATAAAAAAATCATCTGTTTCACATGTATAAATATTGGGAAATAAAACAATTCGTTAGCTTGTATTCAGAGTAGGATACAAAACTGACACCTTAATTGCTTAAATTGATATGAACTGAAAGAATATGCAAAGAAGATAATGAACCATTTTAAAGAATAGTTTGGGTCAAGTTATTATTCTTAATTGCTATCATGCACATGAATCAGTAATGATCTCTACTATTATCTTCATATCTATCTCACCTGTATCTATCTCACCTCTATCTCACCTGTATCTATCTCACCTGTATCTATCTCACCTGTATCTATCTCACCTCTTACGAAGTGTTGGACGGCGTTACACAACTGCTGTTTACCTCGGTAAACCAGCCATCACGAATTCAGTTGTCCCACAGTTTAGCAATTGTCACAAATGATATCAGTTTTCTTTTTAATGTTTCAAGTTTTCAAAAAAAATAAAAAAATTACCAAATGCAATACAGCATATAGGTAAAAACGTCTGTTTATCTCGAAGTTTATAGGTTGGCGAGATTATTGGGGTTCTGCTGTAAGGTGAATCGAACGATTTTTTTGTATCAAGTGTCAATAAGACATGCTTTTACCTTTCTGTATCATTTTTTATTTTAATGTTAAAACGTCTGTTTATCTTAAGGCTGAGGATGGCAAGATTATTGCGGTTCCGCTGTAAGGAAAATGGAATAATTTTCTTTTTGTATCAAATGACAATGATGCATACTTTGACCTATCTGAATGATTTTCTGATGACAGTTCCTGTAGGATCGGGAAACACTTTTACTATTCCGTCTGTCCAAGCCTCCGACGCCGGACTGTACGTGTGTATGACTGGGAATATGGCTGGATTTACAACTCACCACATAGGTGTCTTCATACGAGGTAGGCCTGCATATGTTGTCAACCGTGCAGGTACACGTGCATCGGTGTTATCAGAATGTATTTAGCTGATAGTAAGCATGTCAATATGGAAATTGATAAAAACAAGTATTGTTTTTTCGAAATATCATTAATAACTTTTAAAAGCAAGGGATGAAACTATTGATCAAGACATTTCGTCTTATTAGTGAAAACAGATAAAGAAATTGGGCATATACGATGTAAAGAAGAGCATTAGAGTCACGAAGAAAAAAACATATTTCGTTCGTTCGTGAATGTAACTCGAACTTTTGACTTAATAAGCCGAGGTATATAGACTTAGTATGAACATTGTTTTTCTTACATGGCCCCTTATGCTCTTCCGTATGAATGTGATTTGAAAAATGCCATTTTGTTTTTGCTTAAAAAAAATCAAGAAATTTTACACAGCATGGTTATTATAGTATGTTTACTAAGTATGTTGTATATCACCTTATAGGGACAATTAAGTGAAGTCAGTTGTTTTGATCACCGGAAATTCGAGTCGATACTGAAAATTTATATCTTCTAACAAAAGTTTATGTAGTTGATAATGACATGACCTGAAGTCAACGTCCAGTATTATCAGTTTCATCTTTTGGGAAAGCCTGTGATAAAAATAGCTACGACCGAAATAGCGCAATATCCGGGCCTTTCAGTGAGAAGTAAACATGTACAGCACTACGCTGTCGACCGACAACAGATCTAGATGTCAGTTAGGAGTCTGAGTATACACAATACATCGCGAGTAAGAATTATAAGTATCATTATATATACCTCTAATCAGATATTTCTGTTCTCATTTGGAATTGAATAAAAACGAACAGGTTCAATTAGAGCATGCACGCATTGCGAGCAGGGAGAATTTCAAACCGCAAAAAAAACACGATATCAATAGGTTTAAACGTAAACTAGATCAGGCATTTATAACGATGTTTTAGATGCTGTTGGAAGATGATTTTGATGCAGAATAGATGCATATACTTGAATTCAGAGAGGCTAAGCGAATAAAATGAGAAGTTTCCTTCTCTCCTCGGCTGGAAAGACATTTTTGTTAGCTAGAAATTCACCGACTAAAACGTGCGGCTGTACAGTTAAGGACTTTCCCGTTACTGATTAAAAACGCCAAGAAAACATTGTCTCTTGTCCATTTCTCGACAAGAATTGTTCATAGAGAGTTTTATGAGTTTTGTGACAAGGTTATCAAAACAACTTTCTTCACTAAATTGTCCCTTTAAATGTTTAAGTATAGATTTATATCACACACACAAATATTTAATGGTTATTTGTGATTTTTGTCCTTTTGTACAACTCTGTCTTTTTAATGACTCTTATGCTTATGACGTATGAAGCACGTGTAAATGTGTTTGCTTTATTGCATGATTGATGCAGTACATATAATATACTAACACTACTAGAATCCTAAATGATATTCGGGAGACATGACGTGTTTATACAGCGATGCGGTTGTGACACTGATACGCGCGTCCGTGATGCAGATCAAGTTTCTAAAGGTAAGTTAATGAGACAATTGTTTTATACACACAGCATATATAGGGTTCAATGAATATGAACTGTTAGTATCTACTAACCATGATCAATAAATGCAACATAGTTAATTGTCAAAGGCAGGTCATGTTATATTTTGACATCACATCATAATTGTATATCTACGCCATTAAACAGTTACGTTGGCATGAAATGATGATATTTTTTAATCTTTTTCTTTCGACCGATCAAACGACATCAATAAGACTGATATGGCTGATAAAAAATGTTATAATCTTTGAAACAAACCTTCTTTAAATTTAACAGTCATGGAAGTCTCTGGTGTAGTGCTTGCAATGTGACAGTGATCCTTACATATTACCATTACTAGTGAAATTTGCACCGTAGATACATGTGAGTTTGTTTTTAGTCTCTAACTTTACCAGAGCCTGGTCCACATACATCCCCGCTGCCTGTAGTCCTGCTTAAAGACGTCCTTAGCGCTTTATAAACATCAAATACGTATGTACAACAAATAATGGAGATTTCTGTTGTAAATTGTTCTTTCAAATTCACATTTTCTTATTAGTCGGGGATCCAGACATCCAAAAGCTCAATAAAAAGGGTTGGGCCTGACACGGTCTGATATACTTTTTAAATGTGTTCTTTCTATTGGTTTGGACATAAAGGTGAGACAATTGACAGGTCTGCTCTGTCGGAAGCTTTGCGAAAAATAATTGTGGCCAATTTTGTACATGCATCCCCCTATTTTATAGCAAAAATATGACAAATATACATTTTTGTTTCAAATCAATTGTAGGTGGCGATGGTCGTCATCACATGCATTCCAGACCAACGTTAGACATGTCTTGACCTAATCAAATAGGGAAATATGTTTAAAGAACATTCAGAAATGATTTATAATTATTGAAATCCCAAAATAGCGCCCCGATTTTAATAATTTGTTCATATTTTCGTCTTTACTTCACTGGTAATCAAAAAGGGATGATGCTATCACATCATACAATATATCAATATGTTCCTCATTCATGTCAGGCACTCCACACCGATAATTAGGCTTCAGTTATAAATATGGAATGTGTTATGGCGATTTTGCTACCCCTACCCCCAGTTTCAAAAATTGCGGTCGCTGCGTGATAACTCAGCATGATGTCATAATTTGTGGGGTTTGTTTAATCATTTGGATAAGGGCATTATAGTAATTACTTACATGAAGTAAATAGTTAATTTAGGGGCCATAAATTGTGCATGGCCATGGGAAATATACTGTGAATTCATTTATTTTCGTGGGCTCCAAATTTCGTGGATTGATTGAAATGGACAAGTTCGTGGGTACTTAAATTCGTGGATTTGCCAGTGCCTAACAATAACAACACTAATTAAGCATATTTCGTTGGGACTTTTAATTCGTGGATAGTGCTATCCACAAAATCCACGAAAATTAGTACCCCACCAATAATAATGAATTCACAGTACGTAATAAAATAGTATTAAACTCAATTATTTGAAACAAAATGTTGTTTATTCATTCATTCAGTTTTATCGGAAATAACATTTCAAGTGATATTACATCTTTCTATGGTATGCTAGACCTTTGTGACACCTACTAGCATCAATACGTATGTTGCCGCAACAACTACACTGTGCCTACATCAATACTTACACCATTTATATTACTCGTACAGCTCGTGATCACTACTGATTTCACAATAACGCAGTACGTCAAGAGATCAAACAAATCACTTCTGACTTGAAGAGTCTGGATGGTCTGAAACATGCTCAGGTGTACAGTTAGTCACTATCACTGCCTTCCACTGCCAGTTCAACCCTTGAACATTTGTTTGGGTCTCCAGCGCACAGGCATGCGATCACACACTTCACATTTGCTTTAGCACAGGAACATCCTCGTCCACACTTGCTCTTCTTGCAACGGCAATATTTGGCCCGTTTAAATTCAGTCGGCTTCGGCTGCTTCAACATCATGGTTGCCACTAACTTGTCATTGACCAGGTGTCTGCCAAAGTATGTTGCAACGGGGTAGATTGGCTCAGACAAGTGTGCTCGTTTGCACACAGCCACCTGATGAAGGGATCTGAGTAGGTGCAGCCGGAAGGCATCTTCAGTTGGTGGCAGAGATCGCATGTCACCCTTGATACTCGCGAAGAGATGAGCCCGCAGCGCATCAAGGGAGCCACCGAAGTCACTCCGGTCATAGAGTGCCATGATGTACCGCCTAGCTGCTGTGACAACTTCTTCCGTCACCTCTAGGCTTTCATCAGGGTCGCCATATCTGGCAAGTGGCAGCAGGTGTCCAATGTTGTCGATGGCCGCTTTGTAGGCTCGCTTCTTCCCTCTTCTGTAGAGATAGCTGACTGTGTCACACCCGGTCAGTATGTAGATGGTCAACAGGACTGATGTCAGTTGGGCAGCATCTACATCACTCTGCATGGCAAGAGATGTAGCAATGGCATGGGCAGGCAGATATATGTCCATCTTTTTCACCCATAACTCTTCCAGTTCAGCGAAACGCATACTATAGTAGATGCACAACATGATGACATCTGTGTCTGTTGCCATCACAACAACCCGCTTGTGATGAAGGAATTGTACACAGTATGTAATGTGAGCGAACATCCGTGTGTCCGCCTCCTCGTGCTTCACACAGGAAAGTTCAGGGAGCTCTATCTGGCAGTTCGTTGATAACATGACTGTTCGGCCAGGGTCACGGAAGACTCCTCCGAGAAGGAGTGTACATCCCGGAGGAAGTGACTTGTGCTGTGCAGTCCATGTCTCGCCCATGTAGTGCAGCAGGTTTGCTTTGTTATGGGGGTTTTGAACAAAGCCTTTCCACTCAGGAATTGCAAGGGCATCATGAGGCTTGTACTCTTTCATCTTGCTGGGATGTGTCTTCTCTCTCTTTTCGCGCTCCTCGCTTTTCAGGCTTTCCGCTGCAGTGACATCATACCGGTCCCCAACAAAGTTGATGCAGTCACAGCTGTCTGGTTTGGTGCTAAGAAGCTGCTTCAGGTAGTTCTCTTGCAATTCGTGGAAGGTGCTGCTTCCAAGTTGTTGGCATCGCTGAATGAATGCCATGGCGTCAACTACCAACACGACTGGCTCATCTGATGGGGGTAATTTGTCTGCCTGCATCCAGGAGTTGCCAAGGGACGACTTGATGGCAACCAGGTAGTCAGCCTTGTTGCCTTTACGCATCGCATACCCCTGATCAAGGCTCGAATCAGGCTCAAACAGGGATGCAGGACAGCTCGTCCATTCATGGCTGAATATCTCAACCTTCTTCTCTTTATCCAGATCTTACACAAAGTACAGGTTTTGTACAACTGCACTTTCTTCCTCATATATCTTCTTTGCCTTCTGTGCCATGGACAGTGACTTCTTTGTCTGTGCTGCAAATGTGGCCAATTTCACAGGGACTACTTTCTCACTCTCCGTTTCTCGTGCTAGGGCCAATGCCT